AAGACGATATCGTCCACAGAATCAAGATCAACTAATCTTTTACCAGGCAGCACTTCAACGCCTACATTGTAAGATTCCACAAGGGAACACTCCATGATAGAATCCACGACGAAATTGAACAAAAATGGGGAAATCGGACAACCCTGACGAACGTCACTTGTGGTCAGAAAGCTACCCGATAGGGCACCATAGAACCTGACGCGGCTTGTAGTGTACCAGTATAGAGCACGTAGGATGTTCACATATTTCGTGGGAACACCTTTCCGCGCAAGTATTTCGAACAGATTACATCAATCAATCGAATGGATCGAACGCAATCTTGAAATCAAGGAACACAGCTATTGTCGGTCTGCGGTATGTGTGACGCTGCTCTAGCACCTGCCGCAAAGTGAATATATGGTCTATACAGCCACCTCCTGGGCGGAAACCTGCCTGTTCTTCCCTAATCCGAGATTCCCGTCTCACAGCAAGGCGACGAACCAGAATCGAGGCCAGTAATTCTGGCACAACTGGCGTTAGGTTAAAATCCCTGTGGTTAGAACAGTTTGTGCGGCTTCCCTTCTTGTATATTGCTACTATAATCGAGTCGCTCCAATTAACCGGGACACCGTCTTCCTTCCAGATACGTTCGAATAGGGAGGTCAGTGCTTTGCAGAAGACCTCACCTCCAGCCTTAAATAGTACAGGTGAGAGGGAATCCGGGCCAAGCGACACGAAAAGGATTGAAGGCTGTGACCGCGTGTCGGATCTCGATCTCCGACAGAGGCTCTAAACTAATCGGCCATGACTCGTCCTGCATCACCTGAGTAGGAAGAGGTCCGGGAGCAGGGGGCCAGCTGAACTGATCTTGAAACTGTTCCGCCTAACTAGCCATACGGCGCTCCTTATTGTGTATCAGTGCACCCGCACTGTCTCTGATTGTCTCACTGACGCCTGGTTTCTTGAGAGCAGTGATGCGAATCAGATGGAAGAGCTTGCGGTAATTGCCTACTGCTTCTGCCTCCTCCATTTCTTGAGCCCTACTGGTTCACCAGGCTTCCTTGTCAGCACGTAGGCTCCGCTTTAGTTCGCGCCTAATAGCCCGTCTGGGCACATTGTGCTCAGAGCCAGCCGGGAGGTTTCTTCTGGATTCCAACAGGTTCACCGACCTATCGGATACCCAGTGACTGATGTGGTGACCATTGAGAGTGCCACAAGCAGATGCCCCTGCGTCGTGCATGGCGGCCGAGATCCTATTCCACTGAAGCTCAGTGTCATTAGAACAAGACAGCGAAAGTTCGGTACGCAGTGCGCCTTGATAAGCTTGCCTGACCGAGGACTGAGACAATTTCTCAGTTGAAGCAACTCTTTCCCGACGGAATATTTGGAAAAATATTTCAACGGCGTTTGAAATCCGCGGTTGAACAAGTGTACCCTGCGGCGCAATCCGTACTGGTATACACAACGACGCGCATTCCCACACCTTCGGTTAAACCGCAGCTACCTCTGTCCAGCCATTCACACATCGTTTACAAATTTACATGTAATTGCAAGTCCATTTACATAGGCATGACAGAGCGCCAGTTGCGGGTGAGAATCGCGGAACATATCCCAGCGTGGGTCAAGAATCACATTTTGAACCTAACCCCGTCCACCACCCAAGTTGCACAGCCAAAGAACGCAAGTGACCAATCTTTTAAGACGCCTGCGCCATCCATCGCCTGCCATCTCCTGACCGACAAACACTGTGTTGACCCCACGCGTATGTTCAGTGTGATTTACGCATCAAACAACACTCGTGCTGCGATACGCTGAGGCGGTCGCAATCAAACATCTTGACCCCAGCCTGTGTGTGCAGAAGGACGCATTCGTCAAACTGGCTCTACCCTGGTAGTAAGCCAGTGGACAGCTGATGAATTGTCAAAGACGTGTATGCGCGTGTATGTGGATGTACGTATGTTGGCGAATTGGCTATTTCAACTTTCTTAACTATTCAAGATGTAATTAATTTTCACATGTTCTACAGTACGCACTTGAGAATATGCAGAGAAATTTATCCGGAATTAAATCGTACGGTGCTTTGGTGTTAACGTTTTTACTGAAAATTTCTCAGTTGCCACTAGGGGGAGACGCTTGGTGCGCCACCCGGTAAAGTCCCTGGAGAAACGACAGCGTACCAAGGCATGATCAGAGTCGACACAGGTACTCCAGTACGAGCGGCAATCCAGGATGGAACCACACCACCTGTAACTTATGTATGTGGCCAATTTGGGTCCATCGCTGGCCAGCTACCGGAGGACGTCAAGTGGCACTTCGGCGCCCACTGTGTTTAAAAGCAGCGCTACTGAGAAAGAACTGGTGCTCCGCACACAGCTGCAGATGCTCACCGTTGTCAGTTCGTTCAGAGTTAAGCAAATAATTACCATCCAACTGAGCTTCTGAAGAGCTCAGATGCCCTACTTGTGCGTTCGTATCCCCTGCAAGTACTATAATATCCGAACTAGTAGCACTGCGTAATAGCGCATTCAGTTCGTAATGGAATGTGTCCTTGACAGCATTAGAACTGCAGTCAGGGGGAGCATAAGCGGGAATCCCGAACAAACAGCGTTTTGTACTACTTCGCGAATCAACCTTAGTCGATGTCGTCAAACCGGATGCACATAAACGGCTGTTCACCGGAATCCAATCAACCAACGATGGCTCAGCCTTGGAGCTGAGAATGATACCTACACCAGCTTAACCCGTGAGTGCTGCATCGGCGTCTCCGGATGCATGCAACCAATAACGAGAGGACAAGCCGGGTGCAGTTAATAAAACAATCCCATTAGGGCTATTGATCCTAGTTTCGGACACACAACACATATCAATATCCAGTGTGTCCAAGGTGCGTGCGAGTGCAGCTTGTTGACCTGTTTGTCTTAGAGTGCGAACGTTGAACGTCGCCATGCAAACGGGACAGCGTGGCCTTAAAAGGGTCTGTTGCCGACAGGCGTCCGGTGCGTGTCGCGAGAAGGAGGCTGCAGATGCTGTGACTCCAGTTGCACTTCGGTTGCTGGGAATTATAGAAGGAAGGTCAGTAATCGGGGTCGGGATGGGAGTAAGAGAAACAGGTGGAAAAGAAACAAGGGAGACGTCAGTGGTAGCATGTTTTCGCTTATCCGCCCTGCTGCATGCAGCAGATAAGGGGATCCTTGATAATCTGCGCGACGGCCGATGCAGAATGAAGTTTATGTTTGGAAAAAAAGTCATGGTTGTATGTGGGCTGAGATACTGACAAGGGCGCCCAGACCTAGACAGGAGGACGATCAGGATCTTCACCCAAAGCCTTTGGCTCAAAAGCCTGTGCGCAAGGCAGCAGGGAGGTGGCAATGATTTCGTTTTAGAGAAATGGACGCCATCCCATTTTAAACCCCAACCTGGAGGACCAGAAGACTGTTTGTCTGACCTCTGATCGTTGACCAACCTGGTAGGAGTATCTCTCAAGGTCACCGGAAGCATCACCCAGTATAGCTCAATGGGTCAATGAGGTACGCAAACCATCGCACCACGTCAAGGTCCAGTCTCGTTGCGACGGTTAATCTTATCGAATGCTTAGTTAAAATTGATGCAGATCACATCGACAGATTTCCCCTGGTTTATTGACTGCATACACATTTGCCTCCTTGCGAGCAGATTAGTGACGCACGAGCATTCTGGTATGAAACCGTGACATGCATGTGACAAAGTCTTGGAAGGGAGCAAGTGTAGAAGATCTATCTCCACAATTCTCTCTGTTACCTTTTCCAAAATTAGTCAGACAAATCGGCATGTAGTTGTCCACTTTTCCGAGGTCATCGCCCTTGGGGAGCGATTTTACCGTGGATGATTTAGAAGCTTTTAGTAATGAACCTTCGAAAAGTGACCTGTTGAACAAGCCAAACACAACTTGAGAACCAGCAGGCGAAGCAGGTCAGACCCAGTAGGCTTGGTGCTTTCACGGCTGGCGAGCATTTAAAGCATCTATTTAACATTGCAATCTGAACCTTGCGACACGCAAGATGAATTAAAAGTAACCCGTGTTTGAATACGATGGCCACAGCATACATGCTACTGAGCATTAAAGAATAAAATTTAGCTCTGAAAGCACTGTATAGTATGTGATGGCATCCAGGTCAAAAAAACACCACACTAAGAAAAGAAGCCGAACAGTTCATAAAACGCTATCAACTAGCAAAGGGCTGGTAAAGCCCTGCTAAACTCAACGAAGTTCAGCAGCGCCAGTGCATTATAAGACCCGAAAAACAGGGTCGCTATGCAGAGATCCAAACCACTCAGTTCAGAGCGGAGATCTCCTTATGGGAACCGCCGCCAAGGGTCCACTCATCTGCACAGATCACAACGGAGTTTTCCTTAGTTAGAATACGGCCAACGTAGCCCACATAGTTTCCAGTGAACTCGCCCCAGTCTCACTATGCTCTTTTCCGGAGACACCTCAAATCAACAGTCTGCGTTCTGAGCAATGCCTTAGCCACCGAGCATACTCAGCAACTGTGATGTGCCCAACGTGTCAACAACATCGAAACCACCTTATACCTGCCAGGAGATAAGACCACCACATGGCAACTCATGTGCCAACAAACATACGTCTTCATTTATAGTTCACACAATTACTACTGTTTTAGCGAACTATAAATATGAATGTGTGGAAAGCACGATTGCTTGGGATGAGTCAGTAAAAGCACCCCTGCTATTGGCGTTTTCTTTCTGCTGGTCTCGGTATAGTCATGCGGCGTCTACGCGTTTCGTCGACCTTATCAGTTATGAGTACAAGTCTGCCGGCGGTCCACTAATCGTTCCAATACAAATCGTCTAGGCTATTTTGCGGGTGGGAACCAACGAGTGAAAGAATTCGTCCATTTCGACTAGGACAGTCGAAACAAAACCAGGCGTTTACAACAGGTAGTTTGGTTGGTACGCAAAGCAAAACAAATGAAAGGATTATAACCAGTGCAAAATGGTTAGAATTAGTGTATGGTACTTACCGGAAATAGGAGATCTGTAATCTACAAGATGCGGCTGACGGATTCTGAATAGAGCGAGCGCCACTACATGAGGGCACCATGAAAGACCTTTGTTTCCGCAATCACAACAAACGGATATAATTTTACACCTAAAAAGTAATGAAAGCAGTCGAGTGGCAATACCTGTCAAAAGTAATAGAGACCTCGTATTTCCTCCGATCGACGTCCGGCTGCATAGAACCATGATGTTGCTTGACGGAACCAGTAAGATGAAATCCTATAAAACGTCAAGCGGCCAAAAAACAGAACTGACCTATCTGAATAACATCCTCTACGCAGTTGTGCTGGAACAGGTCCAAACCTTCGTAGTAAGGTATTTTGTCTCGACTTTTATCGGCCTTCGGGTGGTAAGATGCGTAGGTATATATATCGCTGTCGCGTTGCGGAAAAGAATAAAAAATGATCTTTTCTTGAACTGGTTCGGGGACATGAACAAGCATTTTCTCCACATATTCGAAAGGAAGGTGTCCAGCTACAACCTTGGCGCTGAGGTTGAACAAACTATCCACTGTATTCGGGTTGTGGCATACAGATGAGGATCCATTTTCAGTCCGCCGAAGTTTAAAAGTGAGAGGAGTGTGTACACCAATGAGTTTATGTTTCATTATCCGATCATTTGTATTTTGAAAAGAAGAAAGCTGCGCAAACCTTGGCCCCTAAATTGTAGATAGGAGAACTGCGCCGAGGCAAATCGATGAGTCTCTAAAAAAAGGGAAAAAATTGTTATCTTAAATGATATAGACACCAGTGCAAGATGGTCGCATGATTGGTACCCAACAGACGTCCGGTAGGCGCTCGAAATGACGCCGGACAGAAATCGGAAGGTCAAGACGGGGCTTTGCAGAACCTCGTATGCACTCTTGTTTGCCCCTTCTTTACAGTTGCATGGACGTCAGCTGTTCGACTCAGGTGAGGAGTACAGTTTAAGTCAGTGCAATTCAGATGCGGGCACCGAAGTGGGTGGATTCAGTTGTTACAACTCCTGTCGCCAGGGTAACGGCAAATAACAATGCAAGGAAATGAGACACAACGCAAACATGATAAATAAAAACGGGTTTCATCATCAGCAATACATGATGGCTAACTGTGAGAAATACACCTCAGCTAATGCGTCGCAATACTAAAAAGACAATACGCTAAACATTGTAGCATACAAAAATAAAAAGTAATGTAATGCTAAATGTCATATTACGCACTGGGTATGAGATCGCGGTTGGAGGAGGACAAGTGAGAGCGGGAGGGACAAAAGGACTCACAACAAAACACCACTGAGCTCGGCCATGTTAACAAGTTTAGAAAAATGGGATTGGGAAAAATGAGTGAGACCTTGCTGGTACCATCGGTCACTTGAGTGACCGATGGCGGAGCAATTTCGGTTACTTGCTATTTATGGCGGCAAAGAGCTGCAAAGTGTACTGTCCCTTCCCCTTCCCATGCCAAGATATCGGGGTAATGATTGTAATGAACAAGGTGCTTTAGTAGCTCGATTTCATGGGAAAAACGGTAACCCAACATTTGTCTGAATACATGTGTTAGTTTGCCTATCTGGTGCAGATAGACGGTAACAATGTCTAGGAATGTGTCCGAAACATTATGTCGAGTTGCCTCAGTAACATCCTCGTTGAGAATCGCACTTGCCGGGGCATACATGACAACTTTGGTGTCGCAGGGACACCTTTTGCCCGAGCAGTTATTGGTAAGCTGTGTAACAGAAGTTACTATCTTATTTGCAGCTGCCATATTGTGTGCGGGATTCTCTGGGTGCATCGAAGCCAACATCATGCAGAAAGTACGTCAATGAATGCAGCGTGTGAAAGAACGCACTGGTGGCACGCAAAAGCCGCCACATCTATCCTTGTTACAAAAGTGAATAAATTATTCCATAAAAATGTGATTTCGGCGAATATGAGTGCGTTAAATCGCTTGTCGTGGCGTCATTAAGCGCGTTAAATAGGGGGTGTCGACATATTAGCCTAAAAAGTGGGTTATGCTACCAAAATTTCTTGAGTGACCGAAACTTGACCGAAAGTTGTTTTATCGGGAGCATTTTCGGACGTCTTTCGGTCACCCATCGGACGAACTTCAGACACATTATGGACGCATTTCGGTCACTCGTGCTAGTAGGGAACTATCCGTGACCAAATACCAACAGCTAGATGCAAGAAACCGAATGAAGAAGTGCCACTGAGCACGCAACTGCGCCATATTCGATAGGCTCTCCAACTACTGATGTGGACCATCCCGAGGTTCTGTTCAATAAAATAACATGCAGCAATCTGATCAAGTCTCTCAGTCAATTGCACCATACTTTTTAAAATGTCATTTACTGGTCACCTCACGGTCCTGCCCAACTTGGTGTAGCGATAGCATATGATGCACACCGAAGGAGGTGATCAATGAGCATACGGGGGACATGACCTAGTAAACATTCCAGTGAAGCAACAGAGGATTTCTCGCCAAGCATCGACTGGTGAACCTAACCGCTGCTTAAACGGCGTTGGCACCTAACGTGAGCAATACTCAGAAAGCTGTCTTTAGTGAGAGCTGGCCAGGTCTCATCACTACCATCATCAGTACACGTTAGCTAATAGTGAGAAACATTTCAGCTACTGTGCCGCAATATAAAAGATAAGACATAAAAAGGGAGATAAAAAATATAGAATACAAAATAATAATAAAACAAGTAATATAATCCTTTGCTTACGGACCAACATCGAGCTACAAAGCTGATCCGAGGTCTCAGACACTTAGATTATCCACAACGACTTCACTGCCCGGGGCTCTACTCGCTAAAGTACGGACGTCTCCGGGGCGACTTGACCCTTGTAGTTACGATATTATCCATCCGTGGACATCCCTACCGCCACCTACTCACACTGCACCAGTTGTGCTCCCACCTACGTGACCAACCACAGAGGCTCACACATCGGCACAATCGGCTGAATTGCAGGCGACACTTCTTTGCTTTGCGAATCTGCCGACCGTGGAAAGGTCTATCTGCCGACCTACTCTCGATACCTACTGTGGCTGATTTTAAGACCCGCCCGGACTGTCATCTTGCCGAGCTACAGCGCGATATTCCCTTAGACATCTACCTTCTACTCGATTTCACATTCCATACTAGCTCCAGTCAACTTCCAGTTGCCTTCCACTCGAGGCAGCAGCTTGTTCTTCAACTCTCAACACTTTAGATATACACATCGACGGTGTCTTTTTTTAGTTCTCTACCTAATTCCTTTCCATAGCCGTTTCGAAGAGCGTGGTAGGGTGTCATGCTTTGAGCCGGCATGCACACTGTTTAAATGCCACATAAGCCCGATGAAGATACGATTAACACGCGAGTCCAACCCGCTATAAGGTTGCTTAAAATTTCATCAGACTCGACCCTAACTTGTTTTGCCCTATGGGTCATGTAAAGCCCGAACTTTTATTCCCATGAAATACAACGTTCCAGTGTATATATTATGATTAGAAGTATAGATCGTGATTGGAGGGAAGATAACTGGTATGCGGATTGACAAGGGAACTCAACTAGTGTATCCAACCACACGTGCGCATCGACCCTCAGACCCTAGCTCGGCAGTTGGGATACACTAACCAAAGCCAAGTTCGAAGTGAAGGTCTCCATGCCTCTTGACCAAGTCATCGGTTGCCCTCCCCTCCCTTCTTCCATCCGGACCCCGGTCGTACAAACAGCGCAGGTCACGAGAAGCAGTGTGTTGGCATGTACAATGAGATCGACCTGCGTCCGTGGTTAGTCCGAGGCTAGTGGGCGTTATATCACTCTTCGACGGGTGCTGTGTGCTGACGAAAAATAGTCGAGCACACTCACAAAGGTATAATAATCGCTCATCGCTATCATTACGGGAACCCACACAGTGTTGGCCACCCAGTATAAAATTTCCCAACGTGTAGGTTCAGATCAACAGCCAGCACTACTGCATCCGTAGATTTTCTGTAACGAAGGAGTGTGTAAAGTTACTCCGAACCCTTCCTGATGACCAGTGGAGTTCCGCAAGGCTACTTCTTCGGTCCTGAGTTGTTAAAGTAATCATCAATGACCTCCCATCAGAGCTCCGATTGGATTGCTTGCTATATGCCGACGAGTTAAAGCTATGGCTAGAGATGTTCGAACTCGACGATACTGACCGACTGTAAGCGGCACTAGACCGGCTGCACAGCTGGGCATTGAAGTGCCAATTACCCATCAAGTAGGATAAGTGCTCTGCCCTCCCTATAGGTGCTCTGTACCCCTTCGGGGTTTAGCACCTTAGTGGTTTCTTGCTCAGGAACGCTGCTTGTGAGAAGGACCATGGTGTACTTGTGTCTCCTGATTTGCGCACAAACCAGGACAACTTGAGGAGAGCAGCGGCTGCTAACAGGATGTTCTGTGCCATAAAGTGCCATCATTTTCCCGCATGACTCTTGAGATCTTCAGATCCCATTTTACTTCCCATGTGCGCCCTATCCTCGAATATGGTTCACCGACGGTTCATCCTCTTACAAAGACCGAATGTGTTCTCGTAGAGAGAGTCGAACGGTGAGGATCGAAATCGATCTCGGCGATCCGGAATTTGTCCTACACCCAATGAATTCGAACGATGAACATGTTTTCCTTAGGTTATTGTCGTCATCGTGGCGATCTGATATACACCAGACGCATACTGCGTGGGATGATGGGAAATGAACTGAAGGAGTTCTTTCAACTGAGTTGATAGTTCGACACGGGGTCACTCCTGGAAACTGTTTAAGCCGAGGTTCCGAGTCCATTCCGATGTTACCTTGTTCACCCGTGTGGAGAAGGAGTGGAACAATTGACCTGAGCCAGTCGTCAGCGCAGTGTGAGGAGTCTTAAACGACTGTTGGACTCCTATCTGCTGCGTAAGCAAGGGTCGTGTTGTTTCCGCTGCGATCGTGATGGTCCCCTGTGGAACGATGTTTCGCAAGGATCCGCGATATCCCTACTTTGAAAGAGAAGCGAGAATCTTCTGCTCTCTACCATTCCAATGAACTCCAATGATAGAAATCATCTTACGCGCAGTCAGAGATACAGTTCGTGGGGTCGTAAGCCGCAATGACAGACAGACACAGTTTGTCGCCGCTTGATTTCAAAGCTCTGGATGAGCCAAGCAAGCTGACGGCGTACATCCAACTGCTTATTGGGATCCAATCGATCAGGGCAGCTATACCCCGGGGATTCAGAGCAACACCCACACTGGCTTGACCGGTATTTGAAATTGCGTCACCTCAGGGAAAGCGCAATGAGAACGTGCCGCCAGCGTGAGCACAAAGTTCGAATTCTTCAGGCGAGCTGCTGATAAGCAGTCGAGATCTATCAACAGTCTCTAGTGCTCGGGCAATGCTGACTGTTGGCCAACCTGTAACAAACTGTGCACGTTGAGGTATGCCAGTTTCAGCGATGATCGAGGACTCCAAATAGAAACGGATGAACTGACTTCCGCTTGGTTGGATAAGTACCTGCAGACTGGACCGAAGGGACGCGCCGCGAATGCGTGAGTCGAAATTAGAAGACAAGTATTAAAGCAAAATAGGGGAGCGCCAAGATTTGGGAAGCTGAAAATAAGGAATTAAAAGTGCAGTTGGAAGAGAAAGATAAGGATGAGAAAGCATAAGTGGGAGATTAAGAGAACGGGAAGCCTTGAACCCTAGCAATCAAACTCCTACTCACTCCGCTAGTTGGAG